GGATTTTCAAATATCACATTCTTTGGTGGGATTTTTGATGAAGCAGAGTTATATTTGTTATAGCACTCGACTACATTAGTTATTTTTCGTTTATAAGCAGTTTCGAAGCTACCAGTAAATCAGTTATATGAGATGTATTAATCCTCTGTTTGAAAACTGAAAATAAGTAAACTAGTCAATTGTTATAGCAGATATAACTTTGTAGATATGAGGACCAAGATGGTGTGGCCTTCTGTTTGATTGCAGTCTCTTAGCTTTATAGTGTTGGTTCGACCTTGTTTTCGCAACTTGGTCGGAGCGTCATGGAGACTTTATGAAACGTACATAGTCCCCTGTCCTTGCCATAATATTCGTGATTTCTAGCGTTGGAAGGGTACATTGCCAAAGGTTTCGCCGGCATCGTCAGTGAGAGGTGCCATCGTAAACACAGAGTTACAATTTATCAAAGTGACAAATGAAAGCAGTCTCCGTGACCAATTTTTTGATCAACCGTTGTGGCATCTATCCTCGCCCCTATTTACTGTTATGCCTTCCTCTTTCTCTTAACCCCACTTGATATAGCCTATCCACTTATTCACGCAATTCCGTGCTCTGATTTCCTCCAATGTCGATACAGGTTGGTTTAGTGAAGTGTAATTATCTCCACCACCGGTGCCAGATACCGTTTGCAGGGTTCCTGACCTGCATTCTGCCCCACTTTTTTCCCCACACGTTTGGCAATTGGCCGCTGCTAAAGAGCAAAAGCATTGTCTGGCCGTCTGAAATCTGGCTGCCTAAGAACCTTCAATTCCAGTGCTCGAATACGCCATATTCGAGGATTTAGAGCAGATGATGTACATGTTCAGCAACAGGATTTACTATCTGTATTGGTTATAGGCATGCACATGCACCAGACACTCAAGTATAATTACCACGGCCTATATGAGAGTGAATTAGCCAAATAATCATATTTTTATCTATGTCTATAAATTATTAGTTATAATTATTAGTTTATCTAAGGTGTAAATTAGAGCCTGACAATCTTCTTGACCTAATTTTAACCTAAGATTTTTATAAGTATGCGTTCCAGCCCTGATGATGGCCGAAAGCTTGATCCGTTTTTGCCAGAAACAAGGTAGGATGTCTCGTGGACTGCGTTAAAGTCAACTTCGTAGTAGAGCAAAGCAGCTGTAGTACAGTGGGAATAGATCGTCGTCTTCTAATGAATTCTACTTACGAATCTCTTCATCATGTGCTTTCATACGGAAAGATAGTCTCCTCAACCATTTATTGCATCCGTAAATATAAGAGCTAGTTGGCCATTTTGGCAATGAAGATCATGAGGACCAAAATAAGGGATGTTTGACATAATTTTACACGATAATCCTGACACTTCCGGCCACTTATTTTACTATTTAATTCTGTGATTTAGGTTAGTATTGCTGCCAAGGGTTTACAAATCTATGAGTTTTTTATTAGCATATAAGGACTGAGATAAACTATGGTTGATATAACAGAAATAGCTAGCAAGAAAGCAGGATTAGGAAAGCCATACTTAGACAATGCAGAGATAGAGTTAAACATACACTGTCATCAGAAGAAATGAAGACCAAAATGGTATGACCTCCAGTATGGTCGCAGTTTCTTTTCGATTTATAGAGGTGGGTTGATTTCGTCTTGTTGTCAGAGAGACTTAGTAGAACTCACCTTGTCCGAAATCCTCTGGGAATTATGATAACTACTATGGCAGAGGATTTCGGACAAGGTGAGTTCTAAGTCCCCCTGGAAACAAGACCAAGTTGCGATAACGACGTCAGATCACTTCTATACGCTGTCATTTTTAATCGATACTCGCATCTAAGTACTCCTTACTATCCTGAGGAAAAACAAGAAATCAACAAACTTAAAGGGGGATATTAAGACAAAGATGTTGTGGTCCCTATTTTGGTCGCAGTCTCTTTTCGATGCATATAAGTGATCTGACCTCGTTTTCGCAACTTGGTCGTGTTCTCATGGAGACCAAGTTGGACGTACTTTGTCCGAAGTCCTCTGCTGTTGTAGTTATGATCATTCCCAGAGTTATGCCGCGACTTGGTACAATCCCATATGTTTCGCCGGCATCGTTATTGAGTCTTGCCATTCTCAGAACCAAACTACAACTCGTCAGCGACAAATAAATTCAATCCCTTGACCTAATTTTAGTTGAACGGTTATGCTATCACTCCTCTTTCCGTCCTTGCACATCTACTTACTCCCTACCTTATTATCTCACTTCTAACATATGAAGGAGTTGAATATAAACAAATCAGAAGTGAATTGGCGGGAGTGAGGTAAGTAAGATGTTTCAGGACAGAAAGAGGAGGGATAGCTCAACAGAAAGTAGGTCAAGGAATTGACTTTACTTGTCCCTTTGACGAGTTGTAAAATGGTGCTAAGGCTGACAAGACTCAATGACGATGCTGGAGAAACGTTTGCGAGTATGCCAAGTCCACGGTTCAACATTGGTAATTATCATAACTACAACGGCAGAGGACTTTGAACAAGATGCCGCCAACAAGGTCCCCCAGACAACTAGACTAAGCTGCGAAAACGAGGTCAGATTGCTTCTAAATTCTAAGGGAGTTACTTTAAGTGACTAAAATAAGGCCAAATTTCTATAACGGAAATCACGTTTAAGTATTTTGCTACCAATTAATTGGCTGATAAATAATTAGCGATTTCAGAAAATCACTTAAAATATGTCTTACCGATCCACGATCTTTTTAGCCCTGAACTTCTTAAAGCCTTTCTGTTGATGCTGTGTGAAAGTGTTTCCATTTTTATGGACATAAATCTCTTAACTTGTTTTGTAGCTTTACTATTTTGGATGGTGAGTATTATTCTGCATAAAGTACTGACTTTATTCTTATTATGTAACTGATGGCCGTTGGCATTATGCTGTAATGAATTAACATTAATAGGGTCGATGAGAATTCGCTACTAATTTATAATTTATCTGATACACTTGTTAATTCTTTCCCATAATCTGATAACCGCAGATTTCTGCCTACATCGCCTTATTTTTACTCTCAACTTAGATCTTTACTATGACCCAGAAACCAAGCTGTACTACGAAGCTAGCTCCGGATACTTCTATGACCCTGTAAAATCAGCCTACTATTATTGGTCACAATCGGAAGGTCGCTACCTACCAGCTGATTCGCTAATACGTGGTCAGTTGGCTGAGGCCCATTCTGCAACGGTAGCTCTCAATGAGGCCAGTGCTCTTCGCAGAGCAGCCGAGCAAATAGCTGCCAGACAGGCGGCGGAGCGAGTAGCTGCCCAATTGGCTGAAATCCGAGCTGGCAAGGATGATTACGCGGCATATGCATACTCTACTTGTGTGGCTCCGCAGCATAAACAACTATCCAGTGGGCATCATAATCACATCCAACTTGCCTCTGCTTCCTCCTCTTCCTCAGTTGCTTCCGTCACTTCTCCTGGTGCTCGGAGTCTTTTATCCTCAGGCTCAAATACTCTGGCTCACGAGGAGGCACATCTGCCCCTTGCATACGGCAAAGCGTTTGTTGCCGCCTCTGATATCGAAGCTTCATTGAATTCATGGAGCAAACCAAGGCAGGCTTCTGTTTCCAATGCTTCTGCATCCGTCTTCTGTCCTGCTCAGTATGATACAGAGGATGACATTCATCCACCTGGAACCTGATTGCGGTAGAATATACCATGAACAGAAAGATTTACAATTTTATTCCTCGCCTGTATATGCACCCATCGGTCTGGTTTACTATCATTCTTAACCCGTCTATGTTTTTCGATTTTTTGCAGAGTTTCTATTCATATATCTGTCAAACTTGTACACATCATTTTTCAAATTAAAGCCAGCTCTATTCTGATCGATGCCGCCTTTTGCATGCATCTGTATGCCTGAATAATCACGAAGGCCCAGTTATTTTTGAAGGCCACAACATCTTGTTCTTCATACCATTCTAAAATTGTTATATTGTATACTTTGAGATCTAATTGATCTTGGGCTCTACTATTTCCATTATATACACATATTTATTTGGTTCTGATTCAACTTATGTTTGTTCCTGGGTCCGAAATCCAGAAATCTGTCCGTTGTTACGGAGTTTAAGATTATTATCTAAGTCCATATCAAGCACTCTAGAAAGTTAGCAGAAATGTACTCTCACTCTTCCCTTATAACTCATCGTCTATACAACTTCTCGCATCTGGGTTGCTCCAAAATCCCCCTGACATCTTTCAGCAATGTTGGAGTACCCATCATTTCGTCTGAAAAGGTGAATAGGAGGGATTCGTAAGTTGGCTTCACCTAAAGCTGTAACGAGATTGCCTTGGAGCTGTGACTAGATGTATGCGAATATATCCTCGGTGCAGAGCCCTGTGACCCCTGTGAATCCTTACTGAGCTTTCATCTTTCGTGAGACGGATATTGCCAGAGCATGACACCATGCTTTGGTGAATCATCATTGAACCTTATGCCCTGCTATGATGAGGTCCTTTACATGATGGATGAAGACTCAGCAAGGATCCATCAGGGTCACATGGCGATGCGTCGAGGACCTATTCGCACAAATCTACAATCACAACTCCAATGCAATCCCCCTACAGCTTTCTTTGAGACCAACATACAAAGCCCTTCCGTTCGCCTCTCCAAGCGAAATGAAAGGTACTCAAACATAGATCTATTAAGGGATTCTTCAAAATCCTGTTTTTCTACATATTCTTCAGCATTATTTCAGTTCCCATATACCTTCTCTTCTTGTACGCTCGATGTCCATTAAGGTCATTTTTGGGCTTCGATTTTACTGGGCTCTAGGTTTGTATTATTGATGATAGATATCATATATATGATTAAACCCGATAAACTTCTTCTGTTTTATGGGAAAGACTGGTGGTATGAAATTTACAGACCAATTTTTTCCAGACTGGTTGGGGGACGAAAATATTTTAAAATTGTACAGAGTTAATGGTCAATCATTTTCGTGTTTAGCAGGACAGATGTGGTTTTCAAGTAAGGCCAGGCGTTTTCTCATATTGCATTCTATGATGGGGATGTTGACGATGCAAACTTATATCTTCTGCAGAAATCGACAACTTATATTTCGTTTTGAGTAGGCTTTCGAGGCTACTAGTACATCGAATATATGAGCTGTCCCTTAACCCAAGGGCGCTCGTGGCGATATAGCGTAGTGGCTAATGTGTCTAGATAGCACGCTGCATTGTCGTGGCTCTAGTCCAGCTGGGAGAGTTGACAAGGCCTAGGCAATGTCGAGACTGCAGTCCATTCTCGATGAGAATAGCTTTTGGGAAATCATGGATTTATGAAATTCAATGGAAACGTCATCTTACTCATCATCGTGGTAAAATTCTACTTCCATTCCTTCATTGCCTCAAAAGAAACTAGGTGAACATAACTCATACTTTCACTTCATTTGGTCTCTTTTTCCTTACCCACCTGCTTGTAATGAAAATTAAGAATGTAAACTTTTAGCTCTGTCTTGAAGATTTACTTTGGTGCAAGTTGGGATGTTTCTTGTCGTAAAACGCTCATATTCGAGGGCCTTATCTTAACGATCCTTCGATAATACATGTATAAGGAGGCTTTCTACATCCCTTAATCTACAATTATGATTTCTAGCCTCACTGGAGGATGTGAACAATCTATAAAGAGAGTGGTCTATTCTTCATCCACGTGCGTTGCAAAATTAAAGTTTACTTCGTATTTGTAAAAGCCATCAATAAGCCCCATTTATCCTACATTTGAATAGCTGACTGATATTAAAACTTTTCTTTTGATTTACAAATTCAATCCTCTTATTTGCAGTCTAAACATCAAGGTGACCTAAGGGACACGAAGTAATTGTGTGGGTGCCAGTATTATGTGCCTTAATTTCACCGTTCAACGTCAGGTATTTTTTCAAAGTTCAAGTGGCTTGTGTATTGGGGATCAATTTTATGCTTAGCTCTTAGCCTGCATCTACTAATATCCCCTGTGCTATTTAGCAAGTATTTTATTGTATTCCTGTATCTTACATCTCGTGGGAACTTTTAAATTTCCGCTTAATATGTGCGTTCGTCATGTACAGCCTGATCCTCGATGCGATCCGAAATTTTCGACAAGGATTTTTTGCCTACTTTGCAATCGATAATTGTTTTTATCTGAGATTCCTTGATTATGTATATATAAGTTATTATATGTATATGCATATGCATATGTAGTACTTACACTATTTAGTTATATGGCAATTAATTTGAACTATAATTCATCGGATTTATGGGATGTATCTCATTTTACTTCCAAATACACTTTTAAGAAATTAAAAAAATCCGTCTTACATGTGAATTCAGCTGACTTTTTCTTGCCAAATATTTGATTCTCATGCTATCTACATACGTTTGTTGCCAATTAATAAGTAAGTAAAGCATATATATACTTTATTTTATTCTGTTGTATTGACCTTGTTTTCGTAACTTGGTCTGGGAGAAAGGGAAATCATGTGGAACTTACTCAGTCCTGTCTCCTTTTTCAAGATGGCTCACCACTTTACTTAGGTCTATCGACTAGGCATAAGTAATAGGAAATGAGATGTATTCACC